GTTTATTTTAACGTTTGAAGAAATATTTTTTTAACATTTGAAAAACGTTTATTTTAACGTTTGAAGAAATATTTTTTTAATGTTTAAAAAATGTTTATTTTAACGTTTGAAGTTATCAAATACATACACTGATACACTGAGAAAAAAATTTTTTTTTTTTTTAATTTATGATTACATATTATTATTTTTATAGTTGAGCTAATGATACTTCGATACGAAGAATTTATTTTTTCCAGTATATATTATGTTATATATTATATATTTTTATTATTTAGTATATGTTATTGTTATGCTACGAATTCGGATATTTAATTTACAATATATAACATTTTATAAATTATTATGTCTTTAAATAATTTTGGGCCATTCCACGTGAAGCGGATCAGTCATCTCTCAGAAATTTTTTAAATTTTGCACAAAGGTAGTACTTTGGAAGATAGAATTTAGTGCCAAAGGATTTTTTTCTTATTGCAAAATTAATCGAGATATAAACAATTAAAAATTAGACTACAGTATTTTTCAAAAATTCATAACTCTGTTACTAATAATGCTAGCTAACTGCTTTTTTTAAAAAAATACGCGAAAAATGTTCTAGTTTACGAGAAAAAAATGAAGCTTCCGATCTTGTTTTGTTTTCCATTGTTTATTTAACAATAAACTTTTCAACAATTTTTTTAACAATCAGGGAGAGAGTCGAAAAATCTAAAAAAATATTTTTTATATATTTTCAGTTTTCCTACATTTTAGAAAAAAAACTCAAGAACGTGTTTTGCTTCGTTTTCGAGAAAAAAATTTTTTTAGTTCTTAATGTGGGAAAAATTTGTCGACTCTCAGCGTGCGACTCTTACAAAACAGCCAAACTTACAAAATACCCCTACCATACTGCTGCCCAAATACAACAAAATACTTGATAATAATTATAACAAAAGATCAGGTACTTACTGTACAGCAAACTGTAATAAAAAAAACGCAAATGAGAAGTCGAAATCGTCGGAATAAATGATAAAATTGTTTGGAGAGTTAAATATTGTAAAGTCGATTTTATAAAGTTTTAATTTTCCAGTCAATAACAGCGGCCGCGAACAACATACTAGCAGTATGGTAGGGATATTTTGTAAGTTTGGCTGTTTTGTAAGAGTCGCACGCTGAGAGTCGACAGATTTTCCCCACATCAAGAATTAAAAAAATTTTTTTCTCGAAAACGAGACAAAACACGTTCTTGAGTTTTTTTTCTAACAATAAGATGTAGGAAAACTGAAAGTATATAACAAATATTTTTTCAGATTTTTCGACTCTCCCCGATCGTTAAAAAAATTGCTGAAAAGTTTATTGTTAAATAAACAATGGAAAACAAAACATTTTTGGAATCTTCATTTTTTCCCGTAAACTAGAACATTTTTCGCGTATTTAAAAAAAAAGGCAGTTAGCTTAGCATTATTAGTAACAGAGCTATGAATTTTTAAAAAATAAAGTAGTGTAATTTTTAATTGTTTATATCTCGATTAATTTTGCAATAAGAAAAAATCCTTTGACACAAAATTCTATCTTCCAAAGTACTACCTTTGTGCAAAATTAAAAAAATTTCTGAGAGATGACTGATCCGCTTCACGTGGAATAGCCCATATATATATATACATATATATATATATGTATAGCCATATATTTGAAACGAACATTGTACATACGAATCTTAAGTGGGATTGGATAAAATTCTTATCTTAGGTGCATAGTACCAGTAAGAAGCTTCTTTACCAACTGGATCATCTTGTGCAAGTCTGTAATCAACCACAAGGAATTGACCATGTCTCCAGAAAACATGTACGTTAATTGGTGTTTAAAGAAACAATTACACTGGTCTGCAAAATTTGACTTTTTTCTGTTGTTTAGAAAAGTAGAGTAGTTTTCCATATTTATGATATACTGAATCCGCGAATTCGTAAGTGCAAATGTTTTATTATGTTAGATTTTGAGAAAAATGATGTTGAAACGTTTGAAAAACGCATTTTTGGCTTTTTTTTGAACATTTGTAGCTGACAAACCTTCAATGTACAAGTTTCGAAAAGAATTTAAATTAATGCTTGCACATTATACTTTAAAAATATCAAATCTTTTATAGTCAGCATCGAACTTCTGCACCCTGGCGTGCTTTGTTTTTAGAGGCGGGTGTAATCTCACAGTGTTAAGTAAAACTCGTGATTACTTCATATAATTCCAGTATGAAATACCATTGCAAATAGTAAAAATTTCAATAATGGATCTAATACATGGAACTGAATGCTCTTTTATGATAAAAATGTTTTTTTGTTTGTTAACACAATTTTTGAAAAACAATTTTCGAGAAAACTGACTCCGTAATTCTATTGCATGAAAAAAATATGTTAGTTACATGTATTGTAAAATGTTTACAAAATATTATAAATTTGACATCTTATGTATCAAATCATAAGTATAAACCGTTTAATATACAAACTGCCTAACATTGTTTTTATCAGAGTACACCAAAAACAGTGTAGTAAAAACAAAACGCGCTAAGGGTTTGACGCCAGGACATTAATTTAAGACCTTTTTGAAAGGATTAGAGTCTATTATATAAGGCCTGATTTTGGCTTCCCTCAAATTTTGATCAAATGCAGAGAAAATTACGTCTTTTTTAAATGATTCCGATCATTCTACGGCATAACAAAAATTAGTGCCTATACTTCGATAATATCTCATTGAAAATATAAATTTTTGCGGTATATATGGCACAGGTACCATGCAATCATGTCCGTTTCGGCTCAAAACAATTGAGTGTAATCTATATTTTGAAAGATACATTTTAACAAGGCGCATCAAAATTTGAGGAGGGCCAAAATCAGACTTTATTGACCTTTATCCTTTCTCGCACATCGGGTTCCTTAGCTACGAATTTTCAAAAATAGTTAAAAATGTTTTTCAAGCGTTTTTCAACTTCATTTTTCTCAAAAACGTGACGTGATAGAACATTTTCACTTACGAATTCAGATTCAGTGCTTAACAATTTTGGGAAACTATTTATTTTTCCAAACAGCATAAATCATGTAGATCTGGTGTTATTGTTTTTCCTTTTTATTAAAGCCTTCCTCGTGATTACGTCCTTGTGTGTTTTATTTTTTAAGAACACAAAGCTTTGTAGTATACAGGTATCCAGAAATTCGCCTGCACTACTTCTTGAAGTGATTCATTACTCAAAAAGAAAGAAAAATGCTATATAAATATAGGTCCGGAAAAGAATTGTTTCGTAGTTACAAGCACTTTTATGTTAAAAAAAATCATAATTAAACAGACTCCATGGTGCAGCCTGGGTAACGCCAAAATAGTCCGTAATAAAATTATTTCTGTCAAAAAAATAATAAAATAAATTATGGTATTATGATTATGGCTATGAAAGAAAATTATAATTTTTCATAAGGTTACTAACTCGGAAACAACTCATTTCGAAATCTATTTATATAGTTTTTTTTCCTTCTTTTTGGGTTCTGAATTACTTCAAGAAGTAGTGCGGGCGAATTTCTGGACGTCCTGTATACATACATACACACACATACACACACGCACATACACATAAACACGCGCACACACGTATGTATATGCAAATATATGTATACATACGTATTAGCTTTCGAAACAAATATTTATGATTGAGAATGAGATAGTGACGGATTTCATCATTCTTCTTGTTTTTTGCATGAGATAAAAAGGAGGGATTGTTTTATAAAATTGTTTTGTAAATTCTCTTACTTCAGAAAGATTAATATAGAAAGATATGCTTGCTTATGCTGTAATAATTATATAAAAACTTATTAGAATATCTGATGATATTGATCGGTATGCATGCAGTGCATTATTTATTATTAATAATTTATCTTCCAAAACGATTTGTTTTATAATTATGTTATTTATATCTGATTTAAACAGAACCAAGATGGACACAGTATTGACAGTCAAACCAGCACAAGTGGTAATCCAGCGGCTGATTACAGCGAAGGTGCATCTCATGTATTAGCCGTCATTCATCAGATTCTTGGTCATCATAGAGCATTGGAAGCCCGCTGGCACGCTCGCAAAGTCAAATTGCATCAACGACTTGCATTAAAGTAGATATATAAATGTAGTAAAATGTAGTAAAGCTTACGTACTGTTGTATTGATAGTAACATATGCAATTATGATTTTCAGATTATTTCAAGAAGATGTGAAACAAGTTCTTGACTGGCTGACCAATCATGGCGAAGTTTTTATTAGAAAAAATACAGGTGTAGGTCGTAATCTGCAGAAAGCACGCGTTTATCAAAAAAGCCACGAACATTTTGAAAATGTTGCTCAGGTAACTTTTTTTAGTATATATATTAATAATATAAAATCTTATTTTACACATGATTATATGTTATCATGAATGTACTTAACATTTTTTTTATTTGTAGAATACTTATACAAATGCGACTAAACTTTTGACTGCTGCCGAGGAACTTGCTCACACGGGGGAATGCGCACCTGATGAAATATATGCAGTAGCACAAGAATTAGAGGCTCACGTTAGTAGCTTTGCAGCGAGGGTCGAGCAACGGCGTCGCAGATTAGATTTAGCAGTGGTGTTTTATACTCACGAAAAGGAGGTATTTTTATATAGATTGATTATGTACCAGGTTGGATTGTTTATATATTACATGTACGATGTTATTTTCAATGATTTTGTTTTACAGCTTATCGGTTGGGTAGACGAATTACGTCAGGAATTGCAACAGGATGAGGTTGCGGAAAATCTAGAGACAGCGGAAAGATTGTTGGAACAATGTGCGCAGCATAGATCGTCTTGTCTTGAGGCGTGCGCTTCGACAATAGCTCAAGGCGAAGCTCTGCTGCAAGAACTCCGCGAGGCAACTGACGCACCCGATACAACTGGTTCAATATCAGCTGTAGAGTCGGCCTTGGACAGATTGGCAAGCTTAAGACAAGAATTAGAAGACTTATGGGCCACTAAAAAGCTGAGACTGGAACTGTGCTTGCGATTACGTGTTTTCGAACGTGATGCGCTAGAGGCTAGTGGTCAGCTGGAGATGTGGGCGCAGGAGTTGCAGGGTCCACCGCGAGAGGGTTCTCCTGAACAGTTACTGCGTGTACACAACGATGGAGTCGCTCATATGCAGAATACCGCTTTTCAAATTCTGCATCGTGGCCAAGAATTGGCTCAAGTTTTGGAAGAAGCAGGAGTGTGTATTATGGCGGACGGTCAGCATAGTGCGGCAGCGCGGGTGCAGGTTCTGCTAGAGTTTCTGAATGAGAGAGAGTTGGATGCGGAGGACCTTGCGGAGATGCGAAGGGTACGACTGGAACAGGCTTCTCAATTATTGCAACTACAAACGGATGCTTCTCATGTGATTAAATGGATACGAAACGGCGAATCAATATTATTGGCATCGTTGAGGATACCGGACGATTTCGAAGATGCCGACCAATTGGGAAAGGAACACTATCATTTCCAACTCGCGATAACAAATACTCATGCATCCGCTGTGCAAGTAAAGCATAAAGCGGATGTTTTGATAAACGGGAATCATTACGACCCCAAAAGCATTAGGGAGATTGCAGAGGATGTTACCAAACGATGGCAACAGCTAGTGACCTGTGCGGAAGAACGACATAAATTAATTACTGCCAGTTTAAATTTTTACAAAACAGTAGACTCGGTACGTTCGGTTCTTGACAGTTTAGAACTACAATACAATGTGGACGACGATTGGTGTGCTGATGGAGAAAAAGCCGCCGGAATATCTGCGAACATTACTAGGCATCAGGAGCAAAAGGAGGCTTTTTTGAAGGCGTGCACGTTGGTACGACGGACTGGAGAAACGTTCTTAAAGTACATCAATCGTAGTCTACAATTTTATAGCTATCACGCTAATAGCGCCGGTTCCGCGAACAAAGTAAAAAATATTTTGGAGGAGTTAGTTAGTAAGGAAAACAAAGTCCTCGAATATTGGACGCAACGAAAGAAACGCTTAGATCAATGTCATCAATATGTTCTGTTTGAACGTAGTGCTAAACAGGCTCTCGAATGGATAAAAGAAACCGGGGAGTTGTATCTAGCGACGCATACCAATGTCGGTAAGAATCACATCGAAAACGAACAACTGTTGCAAGAGCATATCGAGTTCAAGGGTGCAGCGAAGGAAACGAGAGAAAGGGTGAAATTGTTGATTCAACTCGCCGACAATTTAGTTGAGAGAGGTCATGCTCATGCTACGGCAATCAAGCAGGCTGTTGCCGAGGTCGATCAGCGATACAAGGATTTTAGCACGCGAATGGATTGCTACAAAACGCAAATTGAAGGCGATTTAGGTATCCAACCTGACGAAATGCATAGAGATCTCTCCATTGACCGGAATTCAGATCCGTTGCTGGAAGAAAAGATCAAGGGTAAAGATTTGAAAGAATTGAACGAGGAGAAAAGAAGATCTGCACGAAGGAAAGAGTTCATTATGGCGGAACTCTTGCAAACTGAACGTACATACGTGAAGGATTTAGAAACCTGCATCCGTTGCTTCTTGGACGAGACACGATGCGGAAAGGGAAACGTTCCAATAGGTTTACTAAGTCGGGAATCGATTATTTTTAGCAATATAGAAGAGATACATCAGTTTCATAGCAATGTGTTTCTACGTGAGCTAGAAAAATACGAAACCATGCCAGAGGATGTGGGACATTGTTTTGTAGTGTGGGTGAGTATTATTCAGATATTTAAATTAACATGAGAAGCAAAACTTTACGAATATCGCGTAATACTTGTTTGATTTTAGGCACCTAAATTTGACATGTATGTAACATACTGTAAGAATAAACCCGAGAGCAATCAACTATTAATAACGCACAGTGGAACATGGTTTGAGGAATTGCAGAGAAAGCATAAAGTAGAACATCCTATTGCTGCATATTTAATTAAACCTGTACAGAGAATTACCAAGTATCAGCTATTGCTTAAGGACTTACAGGTATTTAATATTATACGTACATCTCGAGCTTTGCAATTTTTAATTGACGATGTACATATCCTTTTCTTACTTCAGGCTTGTTGCCAAGAAGGTCAGGGCGAAATAAAAGAGGGATTAGAAGTGATGTTAAACGTGCCTAAAAAAGCTAACGATGCCTTACACTTAAGTTTATTGGAAGGTTGCGACGTTAGTATAGATGCGCTCGGTGACGTTGTATTGCAAGATTCGTTCACTGTGTGGGATCCAAAACAATTGATCAGAAAAGGAAGAGATCGTCACATATTTCTTTTCGAATTGTATCTTCTCTTTACTAAGGAAGTGAAAGACTCTGCAGGAAAGGTTTGCACGCAATATTTTTTTGTCGTTATTAATAAAATCTATTTTATGTCAAAATATGAATTGTTCATCTTTAGGTCAAGTATGTTTATAAAAATCGCCTATTGACCTCCGAATTGGGCGTAACTGAACATATTGAAGGTGACGAATGTAAATTCGCGGTATGGACAGGACGGGCACCGACCAGCGACACACGCGTAGTATTGCGGGCGAACTCAATGGACGCGAAGCATCTGTGGGTGATGCGGTTACGCGAAGTGATACAGGAGACCTTTTTGGGCAAGAATATGCCCAAGAGCCCCGCTAAAAAGAGTTCCAGTCAACGTTCCAGCAGAGATCTGGAGGAATGTGCATCCTTGGACGAGAGTGTGGAGAATCTCGACAGAAATTCCTTGGCTTCCTTCGGTTCGACTAACACTACAGATTCTGATAAGGTAAAATATGACTTCTTTATTATAGAATTTTTTAATATAAAATTTTTTACGCAATTCGTGAGAACTTACAAGATATATATAACATGAAGATTTAGCTACTACAATAAAAGTAACGTTTGATGAAGACATCAATGTGGTATTATTAAAGACGATTGATAATATCATCGTTTTTCAATCATCTCCGGGCTTACTTGACAGTCACGAAAATTTACCTTTAGCCGTCTTTAATCATATCCCGTCGATGTTGTTATTCAACATAATGTTACTCGATATTAATCAATGTTACTAATCGATAATAAAATGTATTTTACTTTTTTTACTATGTCGACGAGGCATTATATTATGATATTACCTCGTTGATGAAAACTATAAACAATTTTTATTACTGCGTAAGAACGATTAAATTGAAACAATTATGTGTATTTAAACGTCATATCAAAGCATGCTTTTTATGATATTAATTTTTGACATAATATTAGTTTTTTATTTAATAAAAAAAATTGAGTCGTCCACAATTGCTTTAAATAAAATGGGCAATTATTTTATTCTGGTTTTGTTAAACCATAATTTTTTGTATTTTAAAGATAAATATGTTTTCGTGTGATTAATATAAAATTCATCCTCTATTGTTATCAATTATTGCCTATCAATTATTGCCCAGCATATATTTTTCAGTAAATTTCCAGTATATTAATGCCCGCTATATTAGTTTTATTTAGAAAAGAATCGTTTTGCTACAGACCAAACTAAAAATTTAAGTATCCTAAATAATTTATTAGTATTACTGCATTGCTCCAGTCTCGAATCGTATTTGTGGTTCTTATGACTTTTCAATGATGTTTTAATGATAGTAGCAGCTTCAACTCTCTTTGTGTTATAACTATGAATTAAGAAATAGCACAAAAAAGTATATAATGATCTTTCGAGTTATATATACGAAATTTTGATTTCCAATCAAAAATATAAAAAATTTTAATTTAAGGCGGAGTTAATTCTTCACGCGCTTTACAATCTATGTATATATTGTACAAATTGGTAAAGAGTTGAAACCACTACTGCCATAAAAACATCGAAAAGTCATAAGCACATTCTATAATATGTGATTCAATAATTATGATCTATAATTAGATTCTTTTATCTTTAATTGTTATATTTACTAATGTGTAAAGATAGTTTTGACTGTTTTAAAGACACGAACATTGAAAAGTATAAATATCTCTAATTATTTTAAACTAATTTATATTTATACTTTGATATTTCTCTTTTTAAAACAAAATCAAGGAAAATTCAAAAGAATCTAATTATAGATCATGATTATTAAATCACGTTTGTGGACATACTCATAATATCGACCTGTATAATAATTTGTAAAACACGACAATTACCTTCGTCTTAATCAAAATTTTTGATATTATTATTTATATAATTTTGATTGGAAATCAAAATTTTGTATGTATAAATCAATGTCGCTTGATCTAATCCGCGAATAACAGAAAACGAGTGAAGCCATGGAAACATCTTGCGCGAAGGGCAGGGTTGCTAATCATTTTTCACCCACTCTTCGTACCTTTGACCTTTAACATTTGTCTTTAAAATCCAAACTAAATATTTTTTTCCGAAGCGCGCCAAAATTGAACCCTCTCACTTTTTATCTCTCTCGTTCTCGCTCTCAGAACGATTCGCCTGCAAATCAGCGCTCATTATTAGCTCCTGAACGCGCCGTACGATCCACCTGATTTCTCGCGAGTTCACCTCTCTATGAGAGGGATGGCAACACACCGCGACACGGGGGAAGGTCACGAAGGCCAGTACTCGCGCAGGGTTGGGTGGGGCGCGAGTTAGGTGGGGTGCGAGTTGGATGGGGCGCAAGTTGGATGGGGTGCGACTTGGATTGGGCTAGTTATAATCTCGTCACTCCGCACGGTCGGAAGACGATCAGTACGACGATCAGTATGAGCGCGACTCCCGGGTCGGATAGACTTAGAAGTCTATCGCTAATCGCGAAATGCCGGGCGAATCGGTAAAGCCCTGACCTTGTCGGAGGAAGGAGGGTGTGAAAAAGAGGGAAAAATGAAAAGTACGAAAACAGAGCGCGTACCGTTGTCGCGCGTTCGAGGATGTGAACGATAGTGCACTTGTCACCATGTTCCTGCCACCCTGCATATCGTGATCGCACTCGCGTCTGAAGACCGTAAACCGCAAGCCGCGCCGATCATAAAGGCTGAACAACCGAATCTGCCCTACTATCATGTCGTTACCGGCCGGTAAACCGGCATCGTTCATCGACAAGGCGCGCAGGAAGATCTCTCTGCCGTGGTCTCGCCAGAACTCCTCAACACCGCCACACGTGACACTCTCCAGACAGCATACCATAGATACGCCGAGCTCGTTTCATGCCGAAAAACTGCGTCAAAATCAACTCTCCCTCGCCCAGGTATCGCCGCGATCACTACGCGCGCGATGTCCGCGAATCTCTATCGGTCTTCTTAAACGAAACTTCTTTTTCTCCGCGAGTCACGAGACTCGTCTCTTCGACTGGCAAAACGTCTCTCGTAGAAGATCGGTACTGCGCGAAGATAAATCCCGCGGAAGAGATTGTTATGATATAATTTTAATAATCTCCTTTCACGCACTCCTCTTTCCGTAATTACGAAAATAGGTACGGACGGTTAAGAATCGAACTAATCGCAAATCGACGCGTTAATCGCTTGCGAATTTGCAAAAGGGCATGGATAATGCAAATCCCGTTGAACATATATCTCTGACTCAGGAGCGTCTCGTTATCATAATAATGTAATCTTTTCTGTGTTGCTTTATCACTTCTATATTTTTCTCCCTCTTCATCTCGATCGTTTGCACGCAGCGCGACGCGGCTTAAGTTAACGACGTCGCGCGAAGGAACTTGGCACGTGGAAAATTCTATTTCGGATCGCGGAATGTATGAAAATCGGGCGGGACCATTTGGACGGTCCACGTCGGGCAAACAATTGCGCGTCTCTCACGCGCGATGAGAGAGAGAGAGAGAGAGTGTGTGTGTGTGCGTGTGCGTGTGTGTGTGTGTGTGTGTGTGTGTGTGTGTGTGTGTGTGTGTGTGTGTGTGTGTGTGTGTGTGTGTGTGT